ACTTTCTCTTGTATGAAGTCATTCTTCATCACGACGCTCCGCGGCAGCTGCTTACTGATCGAGGAAGGTACATTCTTTCACGTGTTGTGGATGACATTCCCCGCGCCTGCACCACTGAGCACAAGCTTACATCCGCTTATCATCCACAGACAAATGGATTGACCGAGCGTCTGAACCGCACGCTGACAATGATGCTGTCAATGTACGTTTCGCCAGATCACCGTGACTGGGACAAATCACTCCCCTTTGTCACGTTCGCGTACAATTCTTCACGGCACGACACAGCTAGTTATTCGCTGTTTTATTTGCTATTTGGCCGACACCCAGCATTACCATTTGACACGCTCCTTCCTTCGGCTGCCCCCTTGTCTACTGAGTACGCCAGCGATGTCGTTTCTCGAGCCCGTGCAGCCCGTCAGCTTGCCCGTGATCGGCTGCACTTGTCGCAAGCGCACCAAAAAGACCGCTATGACAGTCGCCACCAAAGCGTGCACTTCTCGCCGGGGTCTTTGGTACTTCTCTGGACACCAAACCGCTAAGTCGGCTTATCAGAGAAGCTACTATCACACTACCATGGCCCCTACAAAGTGTTACGGCAACTTAGGGACGTGAGCTACAAGATCGCACCCCTAAACAATGCCTCTTCGACCACCTCACTCCGGACAGATGTTGTACACGTTTCCAGACTGAAACCGTATCACCCTCCTCGTTCGTCGCCGCCGTACTAAGCGCCATGATGGCGCTTCCGCCGCAGGGGAGTGATGTTGGGGTCCATCATCGACAGGAGTAAGCGTGGCACTTAGCGAAGATGAAGAAGACGCCTGTGCGTTAGGCGCTTGCGCGAGAGGCAACTTAGACATCTTGTTCGGCTGCCGATTCCCGGTGGACGCTATCCTGTAAGCCAAGACCTCGCCCCGTCACAATACATTGAACATAAACGTGAGAGGTCTCGAGCCTCTTGGACGATCAGAGTTTTCATGCGGTGCGATACTTCTCAATATGCAAGTCAAGGTGGTCCTCATAGACATCGGTGTGAAAGAACACAAGAGACAGTGATCGGGAGAAAAGCCCAATGAAGCAGTTTCGTCATAGACAGAGTTACAGCAGCTGTTGAACCATGTACGGCTGGAGGTAGAAGCTCGTCAGAAAAGCGCGCAATACTAGTCTTCTGTTTGCGACACACCTTAAAGAAGGCGTGGCAGAATGCCCAAGGCGTCGCCTAACACTTTCATTTTGCACATTGACTCTAAGACGACAATGAAGAAAGCCAGGGCAGCAGCACAGTCGCCAATCACATTACTGAGAAGGCTTGCGCTTCAAGGATGTATAAAATGAAGACAGTGAAATCGCGAGCACTCTTCAAAAGGGGCAGCAGTAGAACATCGTAGAAGTGTCGGCATAACGAATGTTTGTACCAATGGTAATTGATCGTCAAAAGCACAAGTTCATCGAAGGCGACGCGTTCAGAAGCATGAGCGTGACGAATGCGTCGGGAGCACCGACAATAGAGCATGCATGCGCCGGAGGAGAAAACCCGGATTGTTCTACATTGATTGACTTGGACTTAGTACAAGTACGCGTGAACAAAGAACATGTGCTTAGAACCTGGGGGCAAAAGAGTTATTCATCGTCAGGCATCATTTAAGGGGACGGAGGATGCTAAAGTGTAGGAGACGTGGACTGGCGATTATTCACAAAGACAATGCTCCCGGACTGTTCTGGAAAACTGGCGTCATTATGTCAATGTATTCAAAGTAAAGATGGCATAGTTATTTCATGTAAAGTCAGAATACTGAATGGCTCCCAGCTGTTCAGTCCTGTACAAAAACTGTACCCGTTAGAACTCGCCACCTCCGGCCCCGGAACGAGGTAAATAAAAGTAGAAAGGAACGACGATAGAACTAGCGTGCGGCCCGTGGCTCGGCCTTCACTGATTTTGAACGGCCAACAACGGAGACTTTGTAGCTGTGGTCCGAGCAACAGTCGCCATATCACCAATCTTTTCTACAAGGAGGCTTCCTTTTTTTACACACAACACTCACGTACGAGTCATTTCTGAAGGAGAATTCATGTCGGGATTTCATCATGTCTATATCGATCTCCACAACGGCTAAAGTCAGGAAGCCAAATCTGAAATACAGTTTTTGTTTCATTGTTATATGTTTGAACGCATGGCGACCACACCGTGCTGTTTTCGAAAACAATGATTCAAAGCAGTCGTTCATGTGTAGATCAAGAACATATTTATTAGCAGAAAAATATCTGGGGCGAGGACAGCCACTTGCGGGCTGCGTGTTAAAGACCCCTGACTTAGCATATTCGGTGATGCTCAATGAGATCTTTCAACCATCGATCATGATATGACACAAGTCCAATAATTGGCCGTCGCTCACAAGACCATACAGCATCTACAGATTGCGAAAAAAAAACTACATAATATTTCTGTGAAGTCCTGAACAATGTTCTATAATCCAGAAAGAACAGGTCAACGCTGAACTAAAGGTGGCATCCAATGTGCTGCAATAATAAGACCCTTTCACTCTTTACAAACACAGGCCCTTGATGACATACATTTTCGTCCACCGATGTGCTTCAATCGCACCGGTGGGCAAGAAGAGCGTTAGAAAATAGCCAGCTGGCTTTTTACACTCTACTTCCCTTATTTGGCAAAATATATTCAAATACATGTTCTTTTCAGCTACGTAAAACTACGAGAAATTGCCTTAAACACTAAACACGTTCTTTTTTTTTTGAAAAACTATTAAGAAAATTTTCCTACCCTAAAAAAAAACGTTAAAACGTCCTTTCAATTTTGACTTTACGAGCTGGTGACCGGAAGGTGACCGGAAGGCAGTGACCGGAAGGTTTTTGGGGGCAAAAATCTTCCAATCATGAAATCGTCTATATAAAGGCCAGCCAGTGGGAGAAAGAAGACGAGCGCTGGTGGCTCGTAACATGTGGCACCTATAGACGTTCGTATGCTTCCGGCTTGCTGGACCCCACGGCCGCTGCTCTATTTCGGCATCTTGCTTTTTTCCTTGTGTCGCACGCTTTCGGTCTTTCATTCAACCAGCGACGATGGCACGTCTACGTTGGACCCCGTCACGAAGCTACAGGAGCTACGCTGCCACAAATAAAGGAGTTGGGCTTGAAAAGCCACATTGTACGATACCCTGCATTTTCGCGTGACATCAATTACCATCTTCAACGAAGGAATGAAAGTACTCAAGAGAGGCACCGCTGAAACAGCGGCAGAAAAGTGTAGCGTAAATGACGCCTAGGCGGCCCATGTCCCAGGGCACAATGATGGAGTTGCTATGGTTACGTATTGTGAAGTATGTAGCGGTTAGCGTATGTGGTATACGCCCCTCTGGATGCCTTGTGCCGAACCATGACAGACGTGTCTACTGCCAGCTACGAAGGGCAAGTTCTGTGGATGGTGTACCTTTCAGGGAGCTGGCTTGCTCCCTTAGATGGGCATTGAGGCAACTTCCTGTCTGCCCACTGTACATGCATCCGCACGACAAAGAGGTGGAGTACACCACTCCGCTCGCACAGTCAGTGAATTGCTTAGAGTGCTTTATAGAGCAACCTTCAGTGCAGACAGTGGCGGCCTTCCCCTTCTGCACTCTTTTGTGAACTCTCGCCCACACGCTTCCTAACTTCTAGCCAGACCAAAAGACAATGTTTTTGCCAGATTGACTGGCCACCTTCTTCAAACGGTGCGGCATGGCGTGCAGGTATGGGATGACGACGAACAATATTCGCCAATCCGAGGCCAAGCGCGCAGCATTACGGCCCTCTTTTCGTTTGCTTTTTAGGTGCTGGGACAGTCGCTGTGAAGTGGAGGAAAGGACCAAGCGCGGGAAACCAACCACTTCATATCTGATATTTTGCCATGAGAAACTCACCTACAGCGTAAGGACAGGAGTACTAAAGCCAAATTAAGCCAAAACGTAGCCAATCCACTTTTACAACTTCCTCAACGAGCAGAGCGATTTTGAAAGTGGTTTTGTAAAATGGGAGAATAAGACCAACAAACAAGATTCCTCTGTAACTGTATTGAAAGACCTGAAAATTTCAAGACATTGCATTTTGCCTCTTGGGACTTCAGAAGTAAAGCACAGAGCCTTGCCCCTTTGCTTAAACATTCTTATGACCTGGATCATAGATTCCATGAAGTTGACGGGATTGACAAACACAAAGTAATCGTCGACTTATCTAAAAACATGCCTTGACCTTCCCTCGAAGTCTTGCTCAAGGGTTCGGTACACTTTCCAAAGAAATATTTTGATAAGTACTGAGGCTACCCTTGACCCCATAAACATACCCGAGTTTTGACATACAGACTCTGCCCAAATGAAAAAGAAACTGTAAATCATGAGTACAACCAAAGTAATTATATAAGGCTTTTCACTGAAATGCCAACATTATTTCTTAACACCACTTCATAATTGCCCTCGACAATAGTTTGTTTCACACAGCTCATGAGGCAACCACATGGCAAAGAATAAGACAGGGCATGTATGTCTTGGCTAAACTTTTACCACCTCATGTGAATTGCGAGTAAGTAAAGCATCAACCAACTGCAAGGCCACTAAAGGCATCTATTAAAAAACAGACGTACACAAGGTGTTGCCTTGAGTTCCCCTCGGTAACAATTACCCAAAAGGGGCATCAGCCTGTATCGAACTGAAAAAAAAGTGCAGCTCAAGGCCTTTAGCAGCTTTTACAGCAGAACACTAGTGCTCTAAATTTATATTCTCAAGAAGGGCCAGAGCACACCTCTCTATCTGAAAGGCCTTTTCTGACACCAGGTTAAAGTTTTTTCCGCTGCATTCATGGCTTTCTTTTGAAACAAATCCCACGGCATGGCAAGAAAACACCCTAGTTTTCAGGACTCTAAGGCTGTTATTGACAAACCTGTTATCGACAAACTTGACCACTGAAATAAACACATAGCCAATATATGATCCAGCCATGCTCTGCGAAAGACTCACCCATTGCGCCCACATGAACGGTTCCAAGCAGGGAGGATATTTCTGGTAAAAATACATAGAAGTCGTCTTTCATCTTTCTCGACACAAAAAGTTCACTAGCTCCGGGTGAGCAAATGGCAGAGTCAGATGCAATCAATGTCAAAGAAGTATTGCTTTGAAGTGACATCTTTTTAGAACTACGTACAAGTACGGACCTCGAAGAAGGCGAATAGCATCTAAAGGAAACGGGAAACGCAGAGCAAAATCAGCCCGTATACACTACAAGGCTCCTCAATGGTGGAGAATTTGCCATACCTTTGCACCTTCGGCGCAGAAAGCTATTGGGATACTGCTCTAGTTGTGGAAAACCATCATGCTGGGCCTGTCTACTATTAGCAAAACAGTTATCTGATATTCCTCTCTTATTTTCTTATTTCCTCATTCTTTCTTTTCTGTACTATTAGGGTGCAAGCGCTCACGTTCATAGCTTTAATATCTTTATTACACTGTCGTTCACTGTGGTAAAATTTTTAAAGACGATAGTCTTTCTTGGGAACCTTCAACGCAAAAATTTTGGTCTGTCTGTCTGTCTGTCTGTCTGTCTGTCTGTCTGTCTGTCTGTCTGTCTGTCTGTCTGTCTGTCTGTCTGTCTGTCTGTACGTTTGTCTATAAGTCCACGCTTAGCGGTATTGGGTAGTCTGAACGGCACCAGCCGTTACACCAAATGGCCTACCCCATTCGCTGCGCCCACCAACTTCGCTCAAAAGGGAGCGTTCATACTTGTGCGATTGTCAATTAAAAAGCAACTATTGCGCATATCTAAGGCACCATAACAACACGTATATATTCTGTATGTGCGTCTTCTACTAGAAAAGGCATACATAGGTAATTTTATGAACCGTAGCGTTTATCACGCCGCGCTGACCATGCAACGCTTGCACGAAAAGGCGAGTGTTTCAAATGCTTTGCTAAGACGACACGGTTGTGGCACCCTCCCGTCACTTCGCGTTTTCCACCGTATCACCTCTGGGACGTCTCAGAGCCACGCGCTTCGTTTTACAAGAAAACTGCCAGATAGTGCTCATGTCTCGCGTATGACGTGACCTGATGCGCTCGTTCGCCTCCGCTGCACGCTCGAGGCACTCTAACGCTGCGCCTCCAAAACACCATTCACCGATTTCTTGCGCAAAACATCAAATAAATGTTTTCTGCACTGTCTTCCCACGCAGGACAATCGTCTTTCGACGACATTTTCAGATTAACATGCCAATTCGAGGCAAATTTTTTTAGTTGATTTATATTGCAGAAGTCCTTTGTGTGGAAATGACTCAAGAGCTTAATTGAAGTTATACAAGGCAGAGGCGCCGCCAGAAAGTTTTTTCGGACTAGAGAAAGCTTCACAAACATTCAGGTAGGTTAATTCATGTGTTTGAATATGTGTTTTTTATGTAATTTGAAAGTTTACAAGTGTTATGGGGGGCAGTCGCCTCCCCTTATACGCCAGCCCATTGGCTACGACAATGATTCAAAGGAAACATGAATTTTGTTCAAGAACAGGTACGGGCTTAAATCTTCTCTTCCCTCTCCCTCCCTCCCAAAAGAGACACTCGCTCTTACATGTTTGCATCACAAAATGACAGCAACGTAATCACCTTCAATTGCTGAAGTGTTTAAAAGTCAAGCCGTACCTAAAGAGTCATTTTGTTGAGACACGCCAGCAGGAATGGCAAGCTATCAATTGAAAACAAAACTGCATGTTCAATGAAAGTGTACTGAAGACGTCAAACAGCAGCAAATTATGTTAATAAGACTGGAATGGGGGCTAGTTGGTACAACTTTTGTGCCATAAAGAGTTGATAAAATGATGTCCCATCAAACGAACTGTCTTGCGGACGTCCTTAAAAAATTGTCATGGTTTTCATACTAGACAGCCGATTGCCTTAAAAATGGTAGGGTCAAATCTTACCTGCATATCTTCAGTGCGCAGGATTATCTCACATACGTTGAGTCCGTCACATAGGCTTCTTATGAACTGCAACAACATTTGGGCAAACGTAAATCTGACAATTTTCCGAGGGTGCCTCTCAGACGCATTGTGATTAGCATTTGTCATTCATATTTCAGACAGCCTAAAAAATAATGATTTCCACCCGGTTCAGGTAACAAAGGGATCATGCGTGTAAGCGCTAGTGAACGCACAAATCTTTTCTTTCATACAAGTTTGTGTCATTTCCATGACCCTGTTGATTTCATGCGCCGAACTGGTTGGCGAAAGAAATGGAGAGTAAATCTTCATCGATAATTTGGCATTTCAGCCGTGGCTGTGCGAGAGACGTTGGTAGCACTGAGCTGGTGACAGCGAAGTAATAAAACGACACCACATATTTATTTAACATTCTTATCTTAGCAACTGCGGCGTGAAAATATTAAGGAGACTATCTAATTCCTCTCTACGTGCCAGCCCATACACTGAACTTTACGCCCGCGCTGAACTCATCTCTATACACTGCACTCATCACTACGACTAGCATATGCAAATACTACTACTAGCAGATGCATTGGTGAAGTCACAACCAGCAAGATAGAAAAAGGCTGAGGAAAGTAGCCACAGTCGTTTCGGTGCCTTTGCCAAAGGTACCTTTTCCTACTCACGACTACATCACCTTTAACAAATACATAATCATAATTAGGAAAGCAAAAGGATAAGATATCCACACTGAGTGAATTACAAGTGGCTGTCATAAATTTCAGTGTCAGGCCGCTTATAAGAACAATCTCTTGACCACTTAGCACACTGTGCGGGTCGCTTTGTGATGCAGCGTCCCGCCTTCTCTTATTATATGAAGAGGGCCAGTGGCTACGTAAAACTGCGCACCCACTCTATCCTTAGAACGGGGCGTGGCGCCACGTCAAAAAGGCACGCACGGATGTGCCGCTACACAAACTTGTGGGCAGACATTTAGAATTCTACTAATCCACCCGAGATTTAGCCAATGTAGCAGAAGTCGAATATTTGATATCTTTCACTGCACACGCAGAGATTACAATCTTCAACCTGCACTAGAAGGCGAACGATTTGTCGGGAGAATCGACCCACTGCACAAGCCGAACAGACCTCTCGGGGACATATTTTTCTTCCACCACCAACCTACCACTCAAAGATGATGTAACGTACTCTGACGCAATGTAAGATATTTTGAAGGGGCACTGCGGCAAAAATAACATAAATACCTCCACTGGCAGTGATATTCCGTAACATTTTTATTTTGTCAGACAAACTCTCCGGGCACTATATTCTTGTGTCCTTCATGTGATGGGCTTCAGGCGGGCATCGTGCATCACCTCAGCCTTTCAAGACCGTCGCCCATTTGCGGTAAGACGTGCAAATTGATGGTTCATCTCATCTATAAGTACGAAAGGTCCGGCGTAAAGTGCGAGCAACGTCAGAGTCATGCCACGCCTGAGTATTGGTGTATATGTCTCAATGCTCATGGGGGTCAAAGGGCCAGGGATTCACTGGCTGCATATGACTGAATAGACCTTAGGCGGGTCGCTTGTAGCTCTGACACTGTGTATAACTCGACATGTAGGTATCAATTGTACTTGTCTACTTGAGGCAAGCAAAAAAAGAGGAATACCCTAATTTTAGGTCTGGTGGTTACATGCCCCCAATTTCAAACTAGGTTGGTGCCCTCCCAAGTGGCTACATTTTTGTTCTGCTGAGCACAAGACCGGAAGTGCGCTTGTACCTATTTAAACAGAATATGGGTAGCTGGCGGCGGCAATTTTCTGCCTCCCACTGCAGCGGCAGATGCTCTACTATTTCACCAAGGCTGTGGTGGGTTAAGGTACGCCCAGGGGTGTTCACAGAACCTTATGGGGCTACCTTTCCAGATGAGTACCCCAAAACAACCGAGCGCAAGGTAGGTGTACTTCTCTACCTATTGGGAAAAAAATGATGGGTTCCACGTTGGCACTGGGAATCTAACCCGGAACCTTCCGGCTTGGAAGCGGGCGCTCTAGACATGCAGCCACTGCTGCGGTAAATATAACTGGACGAATAAATCTCACCTTGGCGATGACAGAAGCACTGGGATAAGGCTTCATTTTTAACATTATGGCACTGCAGTTCTTGAAGAAGTGGTTGATTCCGCGCCCAAGTTCCCTGGAGACAAACATTGCTGGAAAGATTGAAACAATATGCACAAGGAAATGAAGAGTAGTGGAAGATGGCAGCATTCAGAACCACGCTCGCATGTCGTACTTATCCATTACTATCTTTCGCTTTACGGTGAACAGCTTAGCCGCAATGCAAAAAATAAAGGAGGGGGGGGGGGCACCTGTGCACAAGCGATTTTACGTTTAAAGTTTCCCCTGCGCGTTTCCCCTGCAGCACTCTGTATGGCATAATTGTTAAGTACTACGCACCACGCGTCTGAAGGCCATGCGCACAACTGTGCGCTCTGTTCATCATGTGAATAAATGATTATGGCTATCGTACAGCAATATAGATCGCTCAGAATGGGTAGACATGGTGCTAACCTACTCATACAGTTACCCTAATACAGTTCTCGGTTTGCATAAAGTTACGTCTGGGGCGATTTCACGTTTTCAACACACGGATGTTAACAAGTCGCTTCGGTAAACATGACGCCTGCTTCAGGTGTTTTTTTGAAACAGTTACAAGCAATGGCTTTTCTCTGTGGCAGAACTTTTGACAAAAACAAGAATTTTTGGGGTGAACTCTGACTGAAACACTTATGAAGGTAAAAGTCTAAGATGGCTTGTCAAAGAGAAACGGTTACTGTGGGCGTCGCTGTCAACACGAGTAATGAAAAAAATTATCATCCCACAAAGACATTGCTGTATGAAGTCACCATGAGAGTGGTGCAATCAGGACATTATAAATTGGCTAAACATTCTTGGCGTTGTTATGTCACCTCTTGGAATTAGTCACATAGCCTCGTAACTTCTTTATTAGTGGGCCCATCACGATAGGTTAGGCGGCCGGTACCATGCAGTGAATGTTTTCAGGGTGATTTAAGCATCGGGATGCTCAGCCCAGTGGATAAAAAAACTAAGCTGAGAAGGGCCCGGACAA